GGCCCTCGCGCGCAGCAGAGCATCGTGCAGGCTGGTCTCCAAAAGCGTGGGAATTGCTTGCACCCTGCAAACAGCAATAGCTGCGGGAGGAAAGCTGGCTGCCACCGTCACGGGGGCGGCGGTGACCCAGCCTTTCCCCCCCTCCTTTGCTGCATGTGCAGCCCAGAGCTCTGTTAACTCCACCTCGGAGCGGGCTCGCGTCCTCGCACACAGAGGAGACCATGGGAGGGACAGCTCGGGAGAGCCCAGAGGACTGCCGCTTTCTGGACGTAAGTTCGTGGCTGGCTTTGCCACCATGCAGCTCGTCAGCATGCAGAGTGTCTGATATGCACGTGTCCCCGTCCCCCCTCGAATCGCCCACGGACCGCCGGCTATCGCCGCTTTGTCGTTAATTAGGCAGAAGCATCCAAGAGGCGAAAGAAGACCCGCACCAGGTACCAGATCTGCGGACTGCTCTTCAGCGTGCTCCTCATTTCTCTTATTCTCATATTTTTTGGTGTCAGATACCTCTGGAACCCAACACCCAGAAAAGTAAGTAAAATCTCTCCAATTTCTGACTGCTGCTTCCCCAGCCAGAGCTGTCCCCCCACCCCAGCTCACTGAAACTTTTAACTACACCCTGAAAACCAGTCAACTTTTCAAAATGCAGACCACAGGCATTCATAGGACTTTTTAAAATCTTTGTATTATTCATAGCTAGGTTTTACTTTATACAGGCTGGGTTTTTCTCTCGGTCACCGCATTCTTTCCTTTACTGACAATTACTGGGGATGGGAGCTACGCCACGAAGAGTTAAAGTCACTCTTATTTCACCAGCAGCAAATTTTATGACAAGTAAGAAAATATTTTCCATTTCATTTCAATTATCTTGCCAGAAACTGGTGAAAAAGTCATTATGCCACCGCATAAAGAGGAGAGAAAGCCAGGACGCAGTGGTGATTGATTGTCATGGATTATATTTCTTACTTTAATGTGTCTGCAATGTGAGGGGACGGTGAGACGGATTAGCCTTTGGAGGAGCTCCTGCTAACTGGATTGGGCTCGTTTGTTCCCAGCTCCCCAGACGGACGCTGCTGTAAGTGCCAAGCGTGCCGAGGGCGGCAGCGGGGCTGCACATCTCCCACACATCTCTGTCCACCGTCTTGGCAGTTCTGCCAAAACCCTTTCTTTTATTCCTTTTTTTTTTTTTAATCATCCCATAACGCAAGCAAACGGCTTAACCTTGAATCCAATAGCCTGCCCAGTGCTCCTCATCCTCCTGCCCTTTGAGTTTTCATGCTCATCCAGGAGGTTCCACTTTGCACCCTGGCACTGATGGTTTTTGCAGACTCTTAAAAGTGTCTCCAAAATTCTCATGGGACTCTTCCCCACGTTGCCATCGCCTCAGTCCTCCCTTCCCGTGCCAGAGCCATGCCAGCCTGGCCAGGCTGCCCTCCCACTGGGCAGAGGAAGTCCCCTCGCTTGCTGGAAACTTTGTCTTCTTATCATCAAATAGAAATAAATAGCCGCAAAAAAATAAAAGAAAAAGCAATAAAAGCCATATGTGCCTCCAGGCTCCTGCCAAAACGGTTATAAAGTCCCTACTGTTCCACGAAAAATGGGGTGCGTGCCAGCCGTGGGGGGAAGAAACTGTTAACCCCTGCAGGGAAGTTTTCTCCGAGCAGCACAAAGCCATTGCCAAAGTCCCAGCAAGGTTATCCAGAGAAACGGCTCTCATCATCCTCACTGGCAGGCACTGGTCAAGGATGGAGACTGCTGGAATTTCTGAAATCCCTTCACAAGGCCTGGCGGGCAGGCAAGTGAGCCATGAGGTCTCAGGAACGGAAAGAGGCTCCTGCGATGAAGCCTGGTGCTGATGCTCCTGGTGTCTGACATCACCAGCTGGCCTGGAAGTCCTCTAGGAATAGCAGGATGGGGCAGGATGGAAGTTCCTAATGCTCAAAAAAATATCAGCCAAGGAGGAACTAAACTCTTTAAAGAACAAAACTCCCTTCGAGCTCCCTTCATGCAAGTGGAGAGTGGAGAAAATCCTTTAAAGAAGACTTGTTCCTCTGAGGGGTGGCCTTGGACGTGGTGCTGCCCTCTGCGCGACGGTATCCGCACCGGCCGGCACGGTGCAGGGAGCGGAGGCGATGAGTCAGGTAACGAGGGGCTCGCTGTGGCCTCGCGGGGGGACATATTTCAACGATTCGTGAGCAAGTGTCATTTTTAGCCCTATAAAACAACTCACAGCTCTCTGAGCAGCATGAAGCCGGCAAAGCCCAAATGGGATAGCTGGCCACTGCACTGGAAAAAGTAATTCTCGGTAAATGGAGAGGTACTCGAAGGTAAGGTGCCACCCGGGATCCTACCCTCCTAGAAATGATTTATGGCACCACGCACATTTTGTCAGTCAAAACCGTTGGCCTTCCAGCCAGTTCAGGCTTCAGACTATTTTTGCCATTCCATAAAGCCCATTGACAGCTGTATGAGTTTGTAAAAGCCTCCTGCCGTCTAACAGGAGATGCTCAGGAGATGCTCACGGCTGCCAAGGCTCCCGTCTCTCTTCTAAATTTCAACTCTCTCTTCTAACTTTCAAGCAGGGGTAACGGTATCCAGCAGTCACCTCCTGCACGGCCGGTTCTGCGCCCAGGTTTCCTCCAGCAGCTGCAAAATGGGGGATGCTGATGCTCAAAACATTGCTAGGAGGCTTTGAACCCACTAACAGGAAGAGATGTGCAAGAACCAGAGGACTGTGAAAGGGGGGTTAGGTTGGGACTGCAGGCAGAGCCCCTGCCCCTCACCAGGGTGTTGCTGTGCGGTCAGGGTGCTCCTTCCCCACCCCACGGTCACACTGGGGGACAAACAGGGCTTTCCCATCCCTGCTCCTTCATCTTTCCCCCTACATGATGCCATTTAATCTGGGAAACGAGTCTCCAAGGCTTGCCAGCTCTCACTACGCCGGCGGAATCGTTTCTCTGCTTCAAATAAGCATCTGCCACTACTCATCCTTTAAGGGACAGGGATCCACAGACTGGAGGGGCTGTGGGGCTGGCTGAGTGCGGCGAGCACCTGCGAGGAGGAGAGGGCTGCTCCCCCTGGCTCCCCGCAGGGATGAGTGCCGCCGGGAAGCCAGCTGCTACGCCCCAAAGCTCTTCAGCAGCCCTCAAGGCGGTCTTTAATCTGCAGGCACTCCCTGATCTCCTCCAGGCGGAAAGAGGCTTTTACCTCTGCCTTTCCAGGAAAAAGAGAAGATGCAGAGACGGAGCAAGCGAGCCAGGGTTGATATGATGGAGTGAGCAAGCCAAGGTTGCAGTAAGGGAGTAAGTGACCTGGGGATGCAGTGATGGAGCAAGAAAGACAAGGATGCAGTGGTGGAGCGAGATCGACAGAGGTCCTCCTCAGATCGAGAGAGGTTCTCCTTAGATCGAGAGAGGTCCTGCTTCCCCTCTACTCTGCCCTGGTGAGACCGCATCTGGAATATTGTGTCCAGTTCTGGGCCCCTCAGTTCAAGAAGGACAGGAAACTGCTGGAGAGAGTCCAGCACAGAGCAACTAAGATGATTAAGGGATAAGTGGAGCATCTCCCTTACGAGGAAAGTCTGAGGGAGCTGGGTGTCTTTAGTCTGGAGAAGAGGAAACTAAGGGGTGACCTTATCAGTGTTTATAAATATATCCAGGGGGAGTGTCACGAGGATGGAACCAGGCTCTTCTCGGTGGCAAACAATGATAGGACAAGGGGTAATGGAACCAAGCTGGAACACAAGAGGTTCCACTTAAATTTGAGAAGAAACTTCTTCTCAGTGAGGGTGACAGAGCCCTGGCACAGGCTGCCCAGGGAGGGGGTGGGGTCTCCTTCTCTGCAGACATTCAAAACCCACCTGGACGCCTTCCTGTGTAACATCATCTACGTGTTCCTGCTCTGGCAGGGGGATCGGACTAGACGATCATTTGAGGTCCCTTCCAATCCCTAGCATACTGTGATACTGCGATACTGTGACACAGTGGTGGTGCAAGCAAGCCAGGGATGCACTGATGGAGCAAGCAAGCCAGAGAGATAGGAAAGTGAGGTCCCTTGGGCCTCACTTCAGTCCAGCCTGGGACATAATAGGCGACAGAAAGTGCCAGCAAAGGCAGAGCCGTGATGAAGCTCCTGGTGCAAGCATCTTCCCAGGAACACATGTTCCCCCAATGCCCGTCCCCATCCTGCTTTTCTTCCCAGCCCTGGAACCTGGGAGCTGCTTCTCTTTGTGCTACCCAGATGATCTGCCTGGATCAGAGCAGGGCTGCGAGGAAGCAGCCAGCCCCGTGGCAGGGCACCCAGCCTCAGGGGTCACACACCCAGCTCCAGCCTGCTCGCCCACCAGCCAGTGTATGAAATCAGGTGGGACCCCAGCACACCTCTCTGCGGTTTTGGCCCTCACAGGTTTATGGCATGGAACACACGTTCTTCAGCCATGGCGAGAAGAAGAAGATTGTGATGGAGATTGACCCTCTGGCCAGGACGGAGACCTTCAGGAGTGGGAACGGCAGTGAGGAAATCCTGGAGATCCATGACTTCAAAAACGTGAGTGCAGCAGGGTTTGTCCCCAGGACCCTGCCGGTGGGCTTAGCACCATGGAGTCGTTTAGGTTGGAAAAGACCTTTAAGGTCATTGAATCCAACCGTTAACTAGCGATGCCAGGCTCACCACTGAACCATGTCCCTGAGCACCACATCCACATGTCTTTTAAATACCTCCAGCAACGGTGACTCCACCACTTCCCTGGGCAGCCTTTTCCAGTGCTTGACAACAATTTCAGTGAAGAAATTTTTCCTAATATCCAACCTAAACCTCCTCTGATGCAGGCTGAAGCCATTTCCTCTCCTCCTAAAGCAGGACCAGTGGGATCCCTTGGAACACTGCAGGGTTGCTTTAGCAAAAGCCCCAGGACAATTCACTCCTGCATCAGGGAGAGCAACGCCCAGATGCAGATTCTCTGGGGATGCTCTCAAAGGAAAGGAGATGTGTATCTACATAAGCTTCCACCGGTACTTTATAGCGACGTGGTTCAGTTCCAACAACATATATCTTAAAAGCCAGACCTAGTTGCTGGATTTACCCTTGCAAAGGAACGCAATCATCATAAATCTGTCCGAGCCCAGTACATTTGTCTGTCTGGAGAGCATTAAAACCTCGTGACAATGTTGTAGGCTCTCTCTGAAATCTAATTAAAACTGGTAGGGAAATACCCTGTGCAGTGACATATGGCAAAATTTTCAGCTAATAGCCTAGCAGGAACTTGAGGCTGAATGTTCATATAACCATAACGGTCAGATGCTATTCTGCATACTTTTATTTATGATAACCAGAGCTCCTGATAGCTATAAGGAGAAGGGGAGCAAAGTAAAATTTGATGACTGTCTGCCTTCAAGTATTTGTAAAAAGCCCAATTCTCCCAAGCTGTAAAATGCAATATCCCTTAGGAGAACCTGTTAGTATATCTTAGCATCACTGCTGAACAGAGTTTGCATAAAAACATCAGCAGACCTAAACCGTCCTCTAGCTGCACCCTCTGTACGATGGAGTTATTTATCCTCTTGCTCTGCCCTGACTGCTTTTTTTGGTGTTTGTTTTGATGCTGTAGGGAATAACCGGCATCTTCTTTGTGGGACTTCAAAAATGTTTCATCAAAACTCAGACGAAAGTCCTACCTGAGACGACAGAGGCCAAGATCCCCGAGCTTGAGGTGGGTGAATAAAACAGGACCCAAGTCCTCTCCCTGCGGTGGGAGCGTGGCTGCCATCCCCACCGCCCTCCTATCTGCTCCAGCCTTCCCAGAGCAGCCACAAAGAAGAAATAACGAGTTCTGATCGCTTCATAAAGTGATCTTATTTCAGAGGATTGCTTCTAAAAACAAGTGGAAAGAGACGGGATTAGGCAGCCGACAGACAAAAACCTCTCGGCACAATACCGGGGATCAAGAACAATAATCCCGTTGTAGTCAAAAGGTCGCAAGGCAGCTCGGGATTAGCAGGCACCAAAAAGTCAGTCCATTTTTTTTCTCCAAGAACTGAGCCTCGTATTCTCAAGCAGAATGAGGCAGAAGTAATGAATTTAAAAGATCAGATGCATTTAAGAAACGCGAGTTGAGAAGGCGCTTGGCACGCAGCCCTGGGAGGTGGGAAACGCCAGGCTGGGCCACCTCCCCGTCCTGCACGGGCATTCCTCCCATCAGCGTGCCCCACTGCTCCTTACACCCATTTAGCTTTGGCTCACCACATCCTGCTTGCAAGGAGCCTCACGTTTTGCATGCTGATTGGAAAAAAGTGTTTGACTCCATATTTCAATCCCTCTCTAACAGTGTAACCCGGGGTGACGGCTCAGTCCCTTGACAGCAGTTGTCCCCTGTCCTCATCCCCCAGCCCCCGGTGGTGGCACAGCCCTCCCACCTTCCCGTTTGCAAGAACGAAGTGTGTCAGAAGATTGAAAACCCCCTCCCAAAGAAGCCATTGCAGATAAAACACCAGCAGGACACGTGTTTGAAACGAAGCGTGGGCAGGAACATTTCCCTGAATCATGACCCAAATTCCCAGACACTGATTCTTTGATTATGCTGTAAGAAGCTAATAGATCTTTTCGGCTACCATCGTAAAAGGGATCTGACTTCCCAGGCTTTAGCGGAACATTGCCCCAGGTAGAGAGCCGAAATGTAAAACTCAATGAGATAAATGTAGATTTAAGCTCCAGTCATCTCTTCCCAGAGGCGCTGCGCTGCCAGGTCCTCCAGGCAGCACCTCCCCAACCCTGCGGCTTTCACTAGCGACGCCGAAAACGCCTCAGATTGGGTCAGGTTGCGTTGGCTCTTTCCTAAGACTTCCCAAAGCGGTAAGGAAAAACTCTAAAAACGAGAAATACAGCTCTAGACGCCTTCTGGAGAGAAGCATACCAGCTTGCTCAGTGGGCTACCACCACCAACACACACAACGCTGCCTTGGCAGATAGCTCAGTGCAGACCCATCCAATAATCTTCATCTATCTCCCTCCCTAAGTGCCTGCCAAAATGTACCAGGAACTACCGCAACGGCAGAGGCATGAGGTATAAATCACGGAATACGTCTGTGCAAAGAATTTCTGTGAGGAATAAATTAAAGTGTTCGATCACAAAATCAGCAGCAGAAGGAGAGAGAAATTAAGTAGTAAGAGGAAAGCAGAGAGGAGATGTTTTAATCTTGGGTTTTAAATGAGCTGGGGTACTCCAGAAGGCTCTTCCAGATGGTGGGGACTGCACAGGAGAAAGTTCCTGAAGCATGAGGAATGGAGGGAGGATAGAGTGGAGTGGTGTTGGCTGAAAGCAGATGGGAAAGACAAGGCTCGTGGTGGGTCTTGAGGACCAGAGGGGTACTGCACATGCCCTCAGCGAGCATCACGAGCCAAAGCAGATGAAGACCGGCTGCTGTCTGGGAGGGCACAGGTGCCTCCGGGTAAGTCAAGGGGAGGAGAAGCAGCCAGCGGTGGAGAGAGGGTGTCTCTCCATGCTAAGGTGAAATCTCACTCTTCTTCCAGGGAGAAGAAATCACAACCACCTACTTTGAGCAGTCTGTGGTCTGGGTGCCTGGGGAAAAGCCCATTCAGAACAAGGAGTTCCTGAAGAGCTCCAAAATTTTTGACATCTGCAGAAACGTGACCATCTACTGGATCCACCCCACGCCAATAGCAGGTACAAGGAGCCATCTCCTCCCCAAAGTGCTCGTGAGTCCCCTCACTGGGAGAAGCCCTGCCATCCACTCACATCCCCCCTGCCACGCTCCCCACTGTGACATCTTCATTGTACATCTCAGATGTTAACACGACATCGGCCATGACCACAAGAGAGCATGGCCAATGTAACAGCAGGGGCTGAAGTTTCTCTCTGCAAAGCGTTTGTTTCCGCTGGCTCCCCACCATCTCACAGTTTGCAGAGTGGCCACCCTCCTAATAACAAGGGAAAAAAACCCACAACCTTTTGTACCTGCAAAGAAGCCAGCACTGCTGGAAACTGGGACGCCTAAATTTTCATCACTGCGTGAACATCAGAGCATGAGCAGACATCCGCATCTAAATCACACAACGGGGTTGCCACCTCCAGCTGCTCACTACACAGCCCTTGCAGAGGTTGTGGCCTCAGAGATCTGCCAGCGTAATTACCTGCTCTCTCTCTAACCTACTTCTATCTGAACGAGGTAGTTTAAAAAACCCCAATCGAGAAAACACTCTCTGCTTTGCAGCCACAGAGGCACATCTCATCCCCCACCAGCTCACGGCCATCGATGGTCCTGGGAGCAAGTTGGCATCAGGGATCCCCGATGCAGAGGGAGGCTGCTCTTGGTCCCCACTGTTTAGGGGAGAAATTCATGGAAATTAATGTTACTGCAGGTCTTAATTAAGCCATGGGTGACGTAGCTGGGTGTAGTCTGCCCAAAAACATGTTGCTTTGCTGACAAATCCCCACCATGGCAGCAGAGTTCAGCATAAGGACATTCCCTGCACTCACAGCCCGTGCAGGGGGTACCAACACCACTCATGGGCACCCACCACCCATGAACACAGAAAAGACATGGGCCATGTCTTCTCTACCCTCTCCCTCCATGATATTACCTCCTATAGCCCCTCTCACAAGCTTGGTAAGAGCAGGAGGCAGCGGAGTACAGCTGATTTGCTGTTAGGTTTTCCTGTACCATGACATCGAATTTTAGTAGAAATATTAATACCTGCTGCTGGATTTGTCCTCCTGCTTCCTGATTGCTGCAATGTTTGGGCTCTTCCTGTAGCTCCTGAGCTGGCTGACCTTGAAGGGGCAGAAGAAGATGATCCTGAGCTGCTCATAGCCAGCCAGAGCTGGTCAGATGGGGGGAGCGAACACGAGGTGGAGAAAGATGCACAACCAGGGCCCAAGCGTCGGGCACGGCAGCTCACTGAGGAGGACCTGCCCATCAACGACTACGTGAGTGTGGGGAATCGCTCCCTGGGGTGTCCCGGCTGTGGACCCAGGTGTCCTGGTCGTGCTCCTGGGGTGTCCTGGTCGTGCTCCTGGGGTGTCCTGGTCATGTTCCTAGGGGGTCCTGGTCATGCTCCTGGGGTGTTCTGGTCATGTTCCTGGGGTGCCCTGGGTGTGTCCCTTGGGCTGTCTCATCTATACTCCTAGAGTGCCCTGGCCATGTTCCAGGGTGCTCTGCCCATGCTTCTGGGGGTGCCCAGTCTGCCCTCCCAGCATGTCCTATCCATGTTTCTGGAGTGTCCTGTCCATGCTCCTGGGATGTCCCAGCATGTTCCTGGAGTGCTCAGCCATGCATCCCCCTCCCTGTGGTGACACCGGCTCTTCCCGGCAGTCGGAGAACGGGCTGGAGTTCCATCCCTTGTGGGACGAGCGAGGCTACTGCTGCGCCCAGTGCCGCCGCGCCAACCGCTACTGCCGGCGGGGCGCTACTACCCCTACCCCTACTGCTACCAGGGCGGGAGGGTCATCTGCCGGATCATCATGCCCTGCAACTGGTGGATTGCTCGCATGCTGGGCAGGGTGTAGCACCTGGCACTTGGGTGCTGTCCTGCACCCACCTGCCGCCTCGCCACCCACCTAGACGTGTCCTGATGTGGGTGG